TCTCTCTCTCTCTCTCTTTTGAAGGGGCTCTCTGCCTGTTATCCAGGCTGTCCTTGAACTCCTGAGTTCAAATGATTCTTCTGCCAAAGTAGCTGTTGACTATAAGCAGGTGCCATTGTGGCTGGCTTATTTTTGTTTGTTTTGTTTTTTTGGTCTTTTTGAGGTCCCTTTTTGAGGGACTCTAACCCCAACTGACTTGGAATTTGCTTTGTAGACCAGGCTGGCCTTGAACTCACAAAGATCTGCCTGCCTCTCCTTCCCAAGTGCTGAGATTAAAGGTGTGTGCCACCATGCTCAGCTTCATTTTACCATTTTTAAATGCATTATCTCTGTGACTCTGTGTCCAATCACATTGTTTTTAATCTTCCCCAATAGAAGCTGCATATGTTAGACATTCCCAGTTCCCACTTCTGCCCATCTGCCTTCCACTCCTGGGGATCATTTGTGTGTGTGTGTGTGTGTGTGTGTGTGTGTGTGTGTGTGCATGAGTGCCTGTGTAGGCCAGAAGTCCGTGTGTGTGTGTGTGTGTGTGTGTGTGTGTGTGTGTGTGTGCACATGAGTGCCTGTGTAGGCCGGAAGTCCGTGTCTGGTGTCCTCTAGTCACTTTCTACCTTATTTTTTGAGACAGGGTCTCTCACTGAACCCAGAGCTCTCCAATCTAGCTAGGCTGACTGGCTAGCAAGCTCTAGGGATATGCTTGTTTTTGCCTTCCCAGTCTGTCTCTGCCTTCCCACCACACTAGAAAGTAAACTCAAGTCCTCATGCTTGCGCAGCCCACTACTTAACATCTGAGTTGGTCTCCCTGTGGCCCCAGCTGGCTATATCCCAGGCAGGCCTTGAACTCACAGAAATCTGCCTGCCTCTGCCTCTCTAGTGCTGGAATTAAAGGCATGCACCACCATACCTACTCCTAGCTGACTTTTAAAAATATTTTATATTATTATTTTATGTGTATATCACCTGCATTTATGTAAGTGTGCCTGTGTCGTGCAGGACCTGCGGAGGTCAGAGAGGGCATTGGATTCCCGTGGAACTGGAATTATGAATGGTTGTTAGCCACCATGTGAGTGCTGGAAATTGAACCTGGGTCCTCTGCAAGAGCAGCCAGTGCTCTTAACCACTGAGCCATCTCTGCAGGCCCTCCTTACTGATTTTTTTTAAAAGAAGTTTACTTAAGATTTAAGCTATTCTTTTCTTCACAAGACAAATTGTCAGAGGAGACAGTTCTCCAATGCTCAGTTCTTGTGACACTGTACATTCAGAGACAATGGAAAAGCTAAAAAATAAACAGGCTTTCCTTGACAGTAGCCTAGACCTGTTTTCTATGTAAATGAGGTATCTCAATGTTTCTCTTGCCATAGGAAGAACTAAAGAATAGTCTAGATTCTGTTTAACCTTTTAAATTTTATACTAAATTTATTTTGCTCTAATGGCACAGCTATGTCTCATTTGACAGTGCCACTTAAAAGCAATTTTGACAGAAATAAATTAAATGGGTAGGTAATATGTCCCTGTGAGTTAGGACCTTGGGAAGGCCATCAGGAATTAGAACTCAGCAGTTGGCTGAGGAAGAGACAGGGTGTCGGGAGCTTTCCCAGATGTGCACTAATGTTTTTAATGTTTTAGGACACTCTAGGACTTTTAATTTTTTTTAGCTACCCTTGTATGCTGCAAGCACTCTAGATGAGCAGTCCAAATGAGGCTGACTTCTGCCTTGAGAGCCAGTTACAAAGATGAAATCAAATTTCATTAATCTGTTATTTTAAGATAATAGGGGTATGCATTTTACAATTTTAACATTCTTTGACTTGATAAACATTTATATAAAGGGCGAGGGCCAAATCAATACTCTGCAGTTCTTATTTTCTGCTTGAGAGACACGCTCATTTCCCCTCTTTTTTATCTCCCTGTTGCCTTGACATGACTGCTTCTGAACTCCATTCTTATCCTTCCCTGCTGTGACAGTTCACTAGCACTTCACGGTACCCAAGACTCTTTCAACTCATATTTTGCACCAGCTGTCAGTTGCAAAATAAGGTTGCTTTGTTTGGGAGGGACAGGATAGAATCCTTTCTGAGCGTCTCCTTTGCCTTTGAAGCAGAAGCACTTCAGAGACAATTGAACTGCTTTTAGGTTTTCCTTACCACCCAGCCTTCTCTTCTGATAGATCCTGCCATGAACACACTGTCCTGTTGATGACATCGATTTGTTGCTATGGAAATAGTGGTAGTGTCACAGATTCAGCCTGGTGGCTTTATTGCACGTTCTTGCAGAAGAAATGGGCAAGGCTTTGGGGTAGAACCTCATTAAAACTGAAAGCTATCCATTCTGAGGTGAATGGTAAATGGAACCAATGTTTGCTGTACGAAACCAAAAAAATAAAATTAACCTTTGCAAATTCAGGGCATGCAGTTGGGCACCCCTGCATGAATTCTGACCTCTCAGAATTAAAACAGTGGTTTCCTAGTGTGTTTTTTCTGCTTAAGTTCCAATCTCTTGACTCAGTTTGAACTGAAATGGCCTTTCTCTATGTATTTCCAGGTCATGGGCAGCAGCAAGTAGTTCCTTCCCCGGCCTTAACAGCCCCTCCAGCAGCCACCAAGCCACAGCAACAGAATGGGAACACAGGAATGGGTGAGATACTACTCTAGAACACTGGTAATATGTGCCACACTTTGAATAGTTTTGAAATTTAGTCTGGGACTAAATACTTTTCCAAAATTCTCTTCATGGGTCGGCACAGTAGCACAGGCCTGTAATCCTAGCACTCAGGAGGCAGAGGTAGGTGGATCTTGGTGGGTTGAAGGCCAACCTGGTCTACATAGAGAGTTCAGGCCAATTGGGGCTACAGGGAGACCCTGTCTCAAAAAGACCTAAAAAAAAAAAAAAAGAGTGAGGATTTAAAAGAAATGTAAATTTACAAAAGGTCAGAGTTTAATGGTCTAGCATTTAAGAGCACTTGCTGGTCTTCCAGGAGACTTAAGACAATTCCCAGCACCCTTGACTCAAAACTACCTGTAACTCCAGTTCCAGGGAATCCGGATCAGTGCCCCATCTGGACTCCATGGGCACCAGTACATATGTGGCCCAAATGTGGCATGTGTACACACACACACACACACACACACACACACACACACACCTAAAAATAAATGTAAATATGAGAAACTACCAGGAAAATCATTAACCGAGAGGAGAGGGACTAAAGTAAATCCTCACCTTTTAACCACCTAGGATCCAATTACTAAATTTGGCTTTTCTCTCTTAAAGTTTCAAGTTTGTCATTTGAGGCTCTCGTGGGTATTTCTCTCTCTCTCTCTCTCTCTCTCTCTCTCTCTCTCTCTCTCTCTCTCTCTCTCTCTCACACACACACACACACACAATGATTTCTATTGGCCATGGGTTCTAGTTCTTTGTTGACTTTTTTTGCAGCAAGTCCTGAGAGGCCCTGATGGAGTTGTTTTGCTTACTTCCTGGCATTTTTTTTTTTAGGCACTCTTCACCTAAAAGTAAAGGGTGGCATCCCAGGTCAAGTTTGATCCCCAGAACCCACAGTGTAAGGAGGAAATTAAAATCTTTTAAAGAAAAGTTTTGGTATAGAAGACAGGAGGTCATTGAAATTTGAAGTAGGTTTTCTGAAAGCTGAAGCATAACAGATAATAATGTACATATAAAAGAATTCAGCTGGGCGTGGTGGTGCACACCTTTAATCCCAGCATTCGAGAGACAGAGGCAGGCAGGTCTCTGTGAGTTCGAGGCCAGCCTGGTCTACATAGTGAGTTCCAGGACAGCTGGGGCTACAGGAAGACCCTGTCTCAAAAAATAAAAAATTAATTTGCCAGTAGGCTTTGATTCTTGCTCTTTCCATGTGAAAGCTGTGTGGCTTAGAAAAAAGGAAACAAGGAGTTCATAGTACTAGACCACCCATTTGTGTCTTGACCAAAACCTGATTCTTACTCTTTGATCCAAACTAAACACCAACTTACAGATTTCACCCTAGAGTTTTCTGTCTTGTGGCAATCTGTTGAGATGATTCATTGATGAAAGATGTCCTTCCAGTTCCTTAGATTCTAGCTTTTCCTTTCCTTTTTTAAAAAAATTATTTTATTATTTTTATTTTATGTGTATACGTGTATTGCCTGCATGTAGGTAAGTGCACCTGTGTCGTGCAATGCCCGTGGAGAACAGAGGAGACCGTCAGATTCCCTGGAACTGGAGTTACGAACAGTTGTTAGCTGCCATATGGGTGCTGGGATTTGAATCTGGGTCTTCTGCAAGAACTGTCAGTGTTCTTAACTGCTGAGCCATCTCTCCAGACCCTCCTTTTTTTTTTTTAATTAAATTTTATTTATTACTTGGTGGGAGTGCATAAGGCACATGCCTGTGGAGTTAGAGGACAACTTTCAAGGGTAGGTTCTCTCCTTTTCTCTTTTTCTAGAAAAGAAAAATGCTGGTGATCAAACCAAGGACCTTGCATGTGCCAGCCAAGGGCTGTACCACTGAGCTATAGCCCCAAGCCCTGTTTTAGTTCCTAGGAGATTACTGTTTTACCATCAGTTTCCTCAGTTAAGAACTTTGATTTTCTGGGGCTGGAGAGGCAGCTCAGTGGTTAAGAGCACTGGCTGCTCTTGCAGAGGACCTGGGTTCCTAGCACCTACGTGGCAGCTAACAACTGACCTTAACTCCATTTCCAGTGTATCTGATGCCCTCTTTTGGCCTCTGCAGGCATTGCATAACACAGATGCACTCACATACATGTGGGCAATACACTCACACACATAAAATAAAAATAAAATTAAATTTATTATTTTCATTTTATGTGTGTGAGTGTATTGCCTGCATGTATGTGAATGCACCCGTGTTGTGGAGATCAGAAGAGGGCTTCAGATTCTCCTGGAACTGGAGTTAAGAACGGTTTGTAGCTACCATGTAGGTGCTGGGAATCAAACCCGGGTCCTCTGCAAGGGCAATCAGTGCTCTTAACCACTGAGCCATCTCTCCGGCCCAAAAAATAAACTTTTTAAAGAAACTTGTTTTCTGGGGCCTCTTGTTTTATATTTCACTAGTGACATGTCCATAATGAGAATTATCTTTAAACTTACTATAAAAGTTAATTAAAGTTACAACTTTGAGACTGAGAGATCACTCAGTGAGTTTAAAAAGCACTTGCCACATGCGTCTGAGAGCCTGAATCCAGACCCCCAAAGCCTGTGTAAAAGCAAAATGCAGTAGTGAAGACATTTGTAATCCCAGCACTCCTGCATGAAAATGGGAGGAGACAGGAGCACCCTGGAAGCCAGTGGGCCAGCCAGCCTAGCATATGCAATAGAAAGACAAGATCAGGGCCTGTCTCCAGGTGGAGATATCATTGTCTGACCACCACATACATGCCATGGCACACGTTCACCTGTATTCACACTCAAAACATGCACCTGCACAAATCATACACACAAACTGTACACACACCAAAAAGATATTTAAAAAATAAGATGGTGCCAGGCATGGTGGCACATGCCTTTAATGCCAGCACTTGGGAGGCAGAGGCAAGTGGATCTCTGTGAGTTCAAGGCCAGCCTGGTCTACATAGTGAGTTCCAGGACAGCTGGGGCTACAAGGAGACCCTGTCTCAAAAAGACCCCCCAAAAAATAAATAAATAAGATGATTGGGCTGGGCATGGTGGCTCATGCCTATGATCCCAGCACTGGGGAGGCAAAGGCAGGTGGATCTTTGTGAGTTCAAGGCCA